TATATATATATATATATCTATATACATACATATGCATATATGTAGTAAAATATTTTATATATATATACAAGGTGTTTAAAAATACGTGGAACCAACTTTAGAAATAGGTAGGAGATACAAAAATTATAAAAAATAGTACATACAAATGATCCAGATTTGATATTGTTTCAAAGTTATAACCACCATTTGTGTTTCAGTAATCTACTACAATTAATCTTCATATAAAAGATTCCCAAAACCGATCTTTTTTATTTATATCCGCTCGGAGTTCTTCAAAATTGTTTTCAAGTGTTCTCGCAAATAAAAACCTAACAACAAAAATAATTACAACGCTTGTATAAACTTTGAATATATAGGAAATATAAAATAATGAAATACTCGTAGTAAGAAAACCGAACATTGAAAGTGAATTGAATTGATGGAATTTAATTAACAAAATTTATTTACTTTTCCTAAAGTGGATCCCACATATATGACGAAACATCTTATATGTATATATATTTGTTCTTTTTCTTTTTATCGAATATTACATATTGACATATATACAGTCATTATTACGGTACATAACGTATTTTTTAATTACTATGAAAGTTAAACGGATAGTAGGAGTAACGTGGAAATATCGGACGATCGGGAATCATTGGGAATGATTTCGGAGAAATAATATTAATCTTAATCTGACTCTTTCTTTCTTTTTTTCTTTCCGAAATATTGACAAAAAATATTATTTTAAATCTTAAGAAAAACAAAATTATTCGGGGTGGAACGATTTCTCCTATATTTGTCATTTCATTCTCCAGTTGTTATTTTTTATTATTTGTACCCGTACATATATAAATATATATGTATTTAAAAAAAAGAGACCAAATAGTTTTTGTTAATAAAAAATATCCATGATATTTATGTATTTACATAGGACCTTTTAATTACGCATTAAACTCTCTTTCATATTAACATATGTACAACGTGTCTCTCATAACTTTATTTATTTAACATATTGTTGACCATTCGTTATTTCGAAAACATTAATCTCATTTCATATATGCATCAAGTTATATTCATAATTATTAATCCTAATCATATTATTAAAGTATTATTATATAAAATTCAATAAAAAATCATTTGTTGATTAGGTCAATAATGTGTTAATAACAAAATTGAAACAAAAGTGGAATCAAAATGGAGGACCGATCGTAATCGTTATAATTTGAAAATACATAATTAATGTATATATAAATTATTTCTCGAAGCTAATCGTTTTTCGAGGACTATTTAAAATATGTATACATATAAAACATATATATATACATATAAAAGAAAAAGAAGGCACGTTAACATCGCGTAATCGTTGAACACTTAAAAACGGAGTTTTCTTTTTTATTTTCTATATATTTAAAAAACAAGAAACAGATAAAAGAGAAAACTCTCGTAGTCTTAAAATCTAATTTTCAAACTAATGGTAACAGACGGGGTGTGGTGGTGGTATCCATCTAATATTTTTTTCTTCTTCTTCATTTTATCTAAATACACGTAGTAATTAGTACGTATAAATCGGTAACCTCGGTGAAATCACAATCGTGGTACAATTCATGAATTATTTATATATATATATATATATATATTTATTTATTTATTTATTTATTTATTTATATATATAGATAATAGTTAATTAATTATAGGAGAGAGGAGAGATGATTGTCTTAACGTGAAAAGTTTCTATACATCGTATTAGGATTTATGGTATTTCGATGATGATCTATAATGATTGATAATGATTTCAAGTATTTAGATTTGATTTTGTTTCAATAAAAAATTTTCTTCGATTCAAAATAATTTAAAGAACGATCTAAACACATTTCAATTTGGATTTTTGTTAATAACTAATATATATAAAAAACAAAAACAAATAAATCTTGTTTCTACGATCCCCAAACTGTGATCTACAACGATCATATCATTTTTATTCGATATTTAATTGATTTGGAAGAAAGAAAAAAAAGAAGAAAACAATAAAATTGATACAAATGTACAAAAATTTATCTTTATCTGAAAAAACTAAAAAAAAAAAACTAAAAAAGAAAGAAAACAAATGAAAAACGATCGAACGATAAATTCGTTTAGCTGTCGCAATGAAATATAGTATAGTGCGAGTGTGTGTTTCTTTTTATCATCATCTAACCTATAAAACATTTTTTTTTTCAATTTTATTGAATAATCGAATCGAAAGAGAGAAAGATCGAAGGAAAAACTGTTTTCATAATTTAAGAACCGAGCCGAACCTAACCGATCGATCGATCGATGATATCTTTCTCTTTATTCTATCTTTTTCTTTCTTGTTAAGTTTGAACATGGGGCTGGCTGGCTGGTTGGCTGGTTGGTTGGTTTGGCGGCAAGCAGTCATGGTGTCGACTCTCGCTCGACGTGGCTCCTTTATTGCGTTTCACTTTCGCGATGAGCTTACCCGTCCGATCGGGGCGTGGCAAAAGTGTAACGCAAGAAAGGTCCGAGGCCATCGACTGAAGAGATCGTATGCGTGAGTCGAGAAAAACAGGGCCTCTGGCCCCATCATCCTCCACTCGACTTCTTCTCTCTTCAACACAATTTCTGTCGATTTCCACTCTCGACAGAATCCGAGCCGACCTCGGCTCAAATAAATCTCTTTTTTTTTTTTTTTTTTACTTTTTCTTTCTTTCTTTCCTTTATATTTATTTTTTCTTCTTCCTCACCCCCCTGCCCGCTGCTTCCAGCCCCTTTCAAAAAAGAAGAAGATGAGAGAAAAAGAAAACAAAGTAATGCTCGACGGGTTCTTTTATTTTTTTTTTATACGATTTCGCGTTTGTCATATTATTGCACTTTTCGTTTCGTTTATTTTTTATTTATTATTGTCCTATTGTTTGGTTTGGTTCTTTTTTTTTTTTTTTTATTTATATACGTTCTTTTCCGTTTTTTCTTTCGTTTGGTAAATTTATTTATTGTTCATGCAAGGAGAAAAATCAATGTGTTGTGTTATTTGCGATTGATAATTTGTCCCAAGTGGTTTTTTTTTTTAATCACTGCAGATGAAAGTTTCGTGTAATAAATATTTTGAGCTTCTAGATCTTTTATATTCAAAATAGAAACGTGTTTTAATGTTTGCAATTGTGTAAAGTAAAGTAAAAGTATTTTCTTATCAAGTGAACAAGTGTCAATGTGATGAAGTTAAAAACATGCGCGTAAATATTTACTGATATATATTACATATACGAATTAAATGATTCTAATTGAATTTAGAAAAATTTCTCATTAATTTTTTCGTTTTTTTTTTGTAATGAATTAATTCTTTATTATTATTATTATTATTACTATTTCACATATTATTCACAAATGTATTCTGCGATGAACGATAATAAAAAAAAACAAGACAAAAAAAGATTAATTAATTTTGAAAAATCCATCTAAGATATATATATATTATTTTATATTTTTTTAATTTCTCTATCACGTTTTTTTCTAATTCTTAAAAATAAGATAAAAAACGAAAGATGAAATTATCGATAATAATCGTTTAATCGTGTTCAATTCATCCATCAACCTCCCTCCCACCCCTATATCTTATAACTTATAACAACTGCGAGTCATCGTTAGATCGTTAGAGGTTAATCGAAGTTAAAAGATCTAGCAAAGGTCTAACGGCTTCTAACAAATGTATCCATCGACACCCGTCTTCTAATTTCAACTAGAAAGTATCTATGGCTTTCGCAAATCTCTTTTTTCTCTCTCTCTCTTTTTATTTCTTTCTTTCCGTTTCATAAAAGGGAACAGAAGAAAATGAACAAATGGAAGAAGAAGAAGAAGAAGAAGAAGAAGAAGAAGAAGAAGAAGAAGAAGAAGAAGAAAGAATAATAATAAGAAGAAAAATGAGATAAAAAATGTTTAGTAAAGATGAGTAACGTAGATATGAATCATTATAGGAAAGAAACATCGATAAAGAAGTCTAAGATATTTCTAATACTTGAATTATAATATCATCTAATGTTATAAGATACGTATATTTATTTTTCAAAAATTATTCTCACTTTATTTATTTATTTAAGTTTATTCAGTTTCACGATATCTATTTTTTTACTTTTGTTGATCTTTCTAATCGTTCATTATTATCATTATACTCGTCATCCTAATCATCATCATCATCATCGTCATCATCATCTTTATAATTATTATAAGCATTTTACTAGGAAATATTTATCATCTTGTCAATCCAACTTTTTAAAATTACAAACGTTATAATTATTAAGCGAGAGTAAATCAACCAGTAGTCGGCAAAATAAGTCGAACATGATTTCTAAACAATATTACTCATTCCATTTTTTCTTTTCCGTTTATCTTATTCATTTATTTTTACCATTTATTTTTTTTCTTTCCCCCTCCCCATCCCATTTCTTTTTCTTAATTTTATTTGATTTTATTTGATTTCATTTTTTTTTGCCGAGACTGATTGATATCATTAAATTAACGTTTCGAATGATTTTAAAATTCACTTTCTAGATCGTAAAATGGAGAACTCGTCGCAAGTTCTTTTTCGCAGGAACTAATATCATTTCTTCATTTTAAACTTCATTTTCTTTTTTATCTTTAAACTTTTGTTTTTCTTTTATATATATATATATATAAAAAAAGGAATTCATCATGTTAGTCGAGTCGTACGAGTATCGATGTTTACGTAGAAATATTCTTTCTTTCTTTTTTGTTTTTTTTTTCGTTTCTTCCATATAATATATATAGAAAATTGAATGAAATAAAAATGAATCAATTATCAGTCATATTGATTTTATTTCTCATCGTGATTAGATTTAAATAGAAAGGAGAGACAGCTTTCTAAAATCGAAAGATAATAAAACTAAATGATGTTTGTATTGGGTTTGAGAATCGTTTGTACCTTGCTGTACCAGAAGTTTTATTCCTTAAAACTCGCTCGATCGTGGAGAAGCGAGCAGGTTTTATCGTGGCGTTCATAATCTCGTTGCGACAGCATCCGCGATGAAAGAGGAAACTCTACTCGTTCATTTCGAAAGCTAACTTGAAGAATTTTCTCCTTCCTAATTTGTATTTCCCTTCTTATTTACCCTCTCTCTCTCTCTCTCTCTCTCTCTCTCTCTCTCTCTCTCTCTCTCCTTTACTTAATCGATTTCGCGTTATCGACTTCCATTTTATTACTTCTTTCTTAAAATTCGATTTCATTTATATATATATATATATATATATATATATAAACATTTTTTTAACAATAGGATAATTTAAAACGATCGATAATGATCTAGAGAAAATGATTTATAATGTAACTTATTTGTTTTATCTATTAATAGGAAATAAAATTTTGTTCGTATCCAAATTCATTCTTTTTTCTTGTTTTTTTCTTTTTTTTTTTTTTTTCCATAATGATCCATACGATTTATAATGATCTATAATGATTTAGTATGATCAACGAATCGATTACGCGTTATCGATTTCCGCTTACATAGATTTACTTTTCCTCGCAATTAAACTTGAAATATATAAAAATACATTTTTTCCTTAGAGGATTATTCAAAATGATCTTTTAGAATGATTTAGAATGATTTACGAATCGATTTACGCGTTATCGACTTCCGTATGATTCTCTCTCTCTCTCTCTCTTTTTCCCGCGAGTTCTATAAACTAATCGAGATACTAATTTACATGAAGCTTTTACCTATATTTTCTAATAGTAAGGCACTCGTGATTGGATTCACATAAATCATGCTCCTTTTAAATTGTCTCTTATTTGTTTTCATTGCACTGACCATTTAAAAAATAACTTCCTCGTTTAATATACCTAAAAAATCTTAGATTAAGATCGAATTTGTTTAATATTATTTGTTTATATCCTGAACGCGTAAGTTTATTATTTTCTATTAAAAAATATTCTATAGGAGTCACGAGAACGAGGAGGAAAATTAGGAAGAGGAGGAGGAGGAGGAGGAGGAGGAGGAAGAAGAGTAAAAGAATTCAAGTATTATTTCCAGGTGACAATGGCGGCGAATTGACGTCTCTTTGTTCTTCCTGTACACTCTCAGGTCTACTCGTTGTGCTACTCGACCTCGAACTTAAGTTGTCTCGATCACTGAAGTAAGACGAGTCACCTCTCTTCTCTTCCAATTGCAACTGTTGTTTGTCGCTTCTGAAATCGTCTTGCGTGTGACTCAGAAGACCCGGAAAATAAGGTATACCTTGCCTTTGGGATGTTATCTTTCCCATAAAACTGCGTATCTCTTCGAAATAGGAATCGTCGGCTCTAGGTAATTGTCCGTGATACCTCGATCTGACCTCGTCGAGTATCGTCGGACCATCTGCGTCGTGTTTCTTCAAATGTCTGTCCAAATTTGTCTGTTGACCGAAGCATCTCTCGCAAAGGGGACACTTAAATGGTTTCTCTTTGTTATGAATATTCCTAACGTGACGTTGAAGATTACTCGAGATGCTGAAACTCCTCTCGCAGTATTTACATTTGTATGGTTGTTCACCTGTATGAGTTCGAAGATGTCTCGTAAGGTTAGCCGATCGGGGAAATACTTTGCCACAAAATTTACACGAGTATCTGTCTTTAGGTTTTAGACCAGCTTGAACTGTGATCGAGTAGGGTGGTAAGCTAGCGGTTTGTTGCTGTTGCGCTGTTGGTTGTTGCGCTGGTGGTTGTTGTTGCTGTTGTTGTGGTTGTTGTTGTTGTTGTTGTTGTTGTGATTGATGAGTTTGTTGTTGGGTAGGTTGATGTTGTTGAGTAGTACCGATCGGACTAGGTACTCTAGCGGTAGGTTGTGATGAGGAAGACGAGGAAGTGGAAGAAGTCGTTGAGGAAAATCTATTGGGTGGTAATGGTACCATCGTGGGCAATGCTCTTACTTGAATTTTCGGTAGATCCGTGACAGTAGAATTATGATGATGCGATCTGTACATAGCTTCGAGTACCAAAGGATGGACTGCATGATGTTGAGGAAATAGGACCGTGTGATAAGGTATACTACTACCACCGAGACTATTTTGATTGAGTACTTCGATCTCATTCTGATTCTCATCCCTGAGCCTTTCTTTTTTATGATCGACGCGTAAATCGAGTGGTTCACATTCGAGGTCATCCTGTTGATGAGGTTGCGGTGGTCTCGCAGCTGGACTCATGTGAGGTTGCTGTTGTTGCTGATGGTGATGATGTTGTTGCTGGTTCAAGGTCGGACTTGACAAACCACGACCGTGCCCATGACTGAGATCGTACGGTAATTCCTCGACGTCTGGTACTCGCACGCTCAATGGATAAATACTCGCCTGCTTCGGGCTTATGTGGCCCGGCATCTTTCGAGGACTCGAGTCCTTTTCTCGCATGGCTGGAGGATACTTAGGGTCGTGCAACAACGTCGGGGGTAGGGTGATGCTACCGAGGTATCCACTCATCACACTGCTGCTTCCTGTCACCCTCGGCCTTGCTTCGTTGTACTGCTCGGGGTGACCTATCAACAAAACGTCAAATCAAATTAGTTCATCTCTTATACAATAATATCTTTATTTATTCGTATGTGCTTGAAAATGTCGTCATAAACAACAAAAAATAACAAGGGATCGCCATAAATGTTATAATAAATCTATAATATTAACACGGCAACCTGTGATATATAAATAAAAATTTTTGAATGACTATAATTGATTGAATATGCTTTATGCGTTATTTAATATAACATAAATCAATCGGAAGAATACTTGAAACTTTCTTTCTCCCATGCCCTGACAAAACACCATTGTTAAAGGTACAGAGAATTGTACAGAGAGAGAGAGAGAGAGAGAGAGAGAGAGAGAGAGAGAGAGAGAGAGAGAGAGAGAGAGAGAGAGAGAGAGAGAGAGAG